TAAAAAGTCGTGAACGGATTCGAACCCTGGTCAGTATCCTAACAAGCTAGCCGCTTACCACCCGGCCATTCAACTGGTGATTCTTCTGAGATGGGAAGGCCTCATAAACCCTGAGGTGAATGCTAATTCCCCCGAATGTAAATTAACCATTTTCCGGAAGTGCTGTATCTCTGTCCACAGGTCGATTTAGCTAATTCTGACTAGCGCGTTGGAATCGCCGTCGTCGAAAACCTAGGGGTAGCCGCGAGCGTTTTTCGAAATTCCACCGTGCCAACTTGTGGTTCCCTTGTAAGATCAACTGGGTCTCGACATTCGTAACAACTTGTTGTCCAGAAACTCGACGACTGGAACCTGCGCGACATTTGCCCCAGCGAGTTGCGCCGCCAGATCTGCATGGTGCAGCAGGAACCCGTGCTGTTCAATGGTACCATTAAGGTCGGTCTTTCGAAATGTTCGCTTTCGCTCTTTCTTTTTCTCTCGCTGTCCCCCGCCCTCTCCCTCTCTCACTCGCCCTCTCTCTCTCTCTCTCTCTCTCTCTCTCGCACTCTCTCTATTTATGCCAACTGCAAGCTTTTCTTTTAGGCAAACATCCTCTACGGTCTGGACCCAAATGAAGTGGCTTTTCAAAAAATTCAAGCAGCCATCCGGGATGCAAATTTGGAGGGATTCGTTGAAAAATTGCCGAGGGTATTTTTGAAATGCGTTTTTTTTATTTTTTTTTGTCTATTGAGGGCCTCGAGACAAATGTTGGAGGCCGTGGAACACAATTATCAGGTTTGTAAACGACTTTACGGTATTTCCTTGATCTAGGAGGCCAAAAGCAACGCATCGCCATTGCCAGGGCACTCGTCAGGGACCCAAAGGTAATCTGGACCTAAACTGTAAAATTCTCCTCGATATCCTCCTCCTTCTGGGCTGATATCCTACCATTAATGCGCTGAAAACATCATGACGGTTGCATCATCATGCAGCCGCATTTGAACGATACTTGGTTCAGATAATCCTACTCGATGAAGCGACCTCTGCGCTCGATTTGGAGTCGGAAAAGGTGGGATTTTCGAACTTCAATATCCTGTTTTTTTTGTTATATTTTTAGGCAGTCCAAAAAGGTCTGGAGGCAGCTTGCCACGGGCGTACGGTACTCGTCATCGCCCACAGGCTGGAGACGATCCGAAAAGCCGACAAGGTTGCGGTCATTTCGGAGGGACGGGTCGCGGAAACCGGTAAGCGGGATAGCCGTGCTCAATCTGGGCCCGCCAAAATTGACCTGTGCATTTTCGCCTTGAGATCTCAAAAGCCTGACTACTAGCAAACCTTTACATACCGATTCAGGGACCCACCAAGAGCTGCTCACGAAAAACGGGATCTACGCCGGGCTGTATAAAAAGCAGTGTCTCTAGTTGTACTTCGTACCTGGTTTTTGCTGTTTTTTTGAGTTGTGTATTTTGTATGTAGTTTTATTGCTTGTCATTATTTGTTTTCGACATTTGAGTGTCTTTTGTAGGCTTTATTCTATGTCATAAAAGTTACTAAAACCCACGATAAATTTAAATTTTTACTATAACATTCTTTCCCTCGACTCGTCAAAACTAAGAGGAGCCAAAATAGCTCTTTCTTCACGGATAATGTAGGTAAAAAATCGGAAGAGCCAGAATGACTCTTCTAAAAACCTGTAGCTCAAAAAATCACAAGCTTTTCTGTTGTTTAGCTCTTTTTAGCGTTTTCTACCGTTGTTTTTGCCGTATTATGTTGTATTTCGTAGTTTAAGGTGTAACTGCTCCCAATTTAATTTTAACATTTTATATCTCAAATCTTTCGACTTTAGTAAAAATATATAATACATTCATTAATTATCGGTGGTATTCCGTTTTGACTCTATACGATAACAGACAAAAAAAGTATACGGTAGTAAGGTATCACATTCCTTCCACTTAACAAAATTAATTCACGGAAAATTGGGCAAAAATGGGTGGTTGTTCACAGAAAAGTGCTCCTGAATTTGCATATGTCTCGGGGTGGTGGTGGCAATAAAAAAATGAGGGTCACATAAAAAGTATATCAAAGTCGTACAGTAATCCACAAAAAAATGACAAATACCGGCAAAAGGAGCGCAACGGAAAAACGGCGGCGGAAATCACAGGAAAAACAGAGCGAATGGGTTGCGGGCGATCAGCTGATATTTTTTGGTGGTGGTGAAATTTGCATTAAAAATATGTAAAAGGAGTGGCACTCGAAATTTGCATAAAGTGAACCTTTTCGGCGTTATAAAATTACGAATTTTCAAAACCTGGTTTTTAATGTCAGTTTTTTTCGGTGATTTCAAACATTAAAAATTGTTTTTGAGGGTGGCAAATTAAGGTAATTTGCATATTTGACTTTTAAACGACACTATTTTAATTTTTTAGTTCTAAAAATTTGACAAATTAATGGAACGAGCATATTTGAATTTATATTTTTTCGCGATTTTCTAACTAGGTTAATTCCAATTTTTGAACAATAATTTTTGCAAAATTTTCAAATGCCCAGAGACCTGAGCTCAAAAGTTAAATGCGATATGCAAATTGCGTATGCAAATTTTCCGAGTGCCACTTTCAAATCCCGTAAAAAATACAAATATTCCGGTATTACAATCTTACTGTATCTCTAATTTTGGGGCAAAGTTTAAAATTGAGATCTCCAAATCGGGGGGTTGCGGGCTGCTTAATTCGATGGTTAAAAGTCCAATTTTCTAACAATTTAAATCCCAGTAAAAAAGTTGCGTGCCAATTCTGAGGTATACGGTAGGTGGGGGAAAATCGGGGTTATTTTTTTGCGATTTTCCAAATTTTTCTCGCCTTAGAAAAAGAGGAATTAAAATTATAATAAATACCCGGGGCTGGTGGAAACTGTAAAAAAGGGAAACACGGTAGGTGGCTAGCCTTAAAAAATTAAAAAAATTAAAATTGATGACATTTGAATTTATCTAGCTAGGCACCTTTAAAAGGTCAAATTTAACAAGCAAAATCGGCTTTTTAATGAATAAAAAATAGGCAAATTTCAGTACGATCTTTCGGCCAGCCCCCTAATTATTTTCTGGGTACGGTAGGTGGATCGGGGTATAGCTTGGCTATTACGGTAGTGAGGGCAAGGGCAAATTGTGTAAAACTTGATTTTGGACGTCGGAGCGTCGCGTAGTCAAATTTACCTATCGTAAGCTATTTGAAAATTAAAACGTTACGCGACCCTCTCCAAAAAACCGCCAAAAAAACTGGTTCAAACAACCGTGCCATTTTTGTAAAATTCAAATTGAAAATTCAGAGCCGGCACGATTGCTTTAAAGGGCTAATGAAGGCAGGGAATCCATAGATATTGACGAAGACATGGTTACGCTACGCTCCAAAAAACGTAGCAGCAGAGGATCCACTTAGAAACGAGAAATTAAAGGCATATGGACGAGTCTAAGCCTAAGCCTAACCAAGCCAAACCAAGGCCTAAGCTAAACCTAAGTCAAGCCCAAGCCTCAGCCTCAGCTTAAGCCAAGCCAAGCCAAGCCCACGCCAAGCCTAAGCACAGCCCCCCTTTAGAAAACGACAAAATCAAAGGACGTCTTTCTGGGTCAGCGCGACCCCATAGCGGACAGGTCGGTGAGCATGTTCTTCTCCAGCTCGCGGACGGTGTTCAGGAACTGATTCCATAGGGGATGGGTACGATCGGCTCCGGGGGCGATCCACAGATTGCGGGTGAAAGGTTCAGCGCCGTTCATGCTATCGTCGTTCTCCTTCTCGGCTGGTTGTCCTGGAAATTGGGGGGTAAGGAGGTCTCGTGGAATTTGGGTAATTTTAGCTTTCCCTCTAGCTTTCTCTAGCTTTCTTGTTTCTCTCTCTCTCTCTCTCTCTCTCTCTCTCGCTGCTCTCTCAGGCACCCCGCTGGGCGCTGGAACCAAATTTCGAGGCATGCTAGTGTACTTTTTTGGGAAAATTGGATCCGGAATCCGGATGATCCCGGAATAGGAATCTCCGGATTCAATTTCACGTATACATCGCGCTTGCAAAAAATGTAGTTCCAAATTTGAGCCCGAAATATCAGCGCCGGCTGCAGGGACTCATATTTTTAGCAAGAGAGAGGGCGAGAGAGATAGAGAGTGAGCGAGAGATAGTGAGAAAGATAGAGCGAGAGAGAAAGAGCGAGAGTGCGAAAGATGAATAACACTCGTTAATCGTAATTAACTCACGGTTGTTGATGATATTATTGGGCGTCAACGTCTGCACGGGCAGTTCAGCGTCGTTGCTCGGTGGGACGATGCTCAATCCGGGCAAATGCTTCGACTCGGACAGGCTCTAAAATTATACTTACACGTACAAAATTTATTTATGTTGGTTTAGTTAATGACTTAATGACTTTTGCGTTCCATTTCCGCTTAATTCCAAACAGCAGTACCTGGAAAGCGCCCCCATTGGTCAGCGAATCCAAATAGGACGGGTAGGTAGAAGCAGCCGTGGTGTACGTGGCTGAATGTGGGGCAAAATGGTTGCCCATCGTCGAGTTCTGGAGGGACATCGATGCCAGGAGGGAGGAGGGGAGCGCCGACAACAGCGACAGGTTCAGGCCTGAAAGATTGAGCGTCTACCGATATCAATAACAACAGTGGAGCTTAATTCTCTGAGCGGCTTAAAAATGTTGCTTATGCTGCCCAGAAGGTGAACAGTTCGAAAACGTCGCCCTACCTTGAAGCGCCGCCAGATTCGGCGTCGACGTGATGATGGGCGGGCTTTCCAGGTCAGCCGAAGCGCGACCGAGCTGCGAAAATAGACCACCATTCCACTCCGGGGCGTCCTGCTTGGCGTTGCCTAAAAGGCATCGATTTCGGGGAGCTCACGGGGATATCGCGAATTTCTTGATGGCACCATCCCTTGAAAATGAATTTTTCGAGGCTCTTTGATTCAGAAAAGGCAAAAAATGTCCTTTTATGACAGTTTTGTATATGTTGGTGAACTGCTTGCTGACGTCGCCCCTTTAAACCACGAATCCAATCGCATAATCGACTCACTGAGGAGGATGTCGTAGAGATTCTGGTTCAACTGCGCCGGATCCGGGATCTGCGGCGTCGCCTGATTTCCCAGGGCCACCATGTCGTCCCCGGAATGCGTACGTTTTGGCGACGAGTGGATTTCGACTTCCTGGAAAATAGAAAAATAGATACGTGTGTTGAAAAATAAAGAAATTTCCTCAAAGATCCTTGCTATCTAGCCCCAAAATTTTGAAAGCTATAGCTAAAACAATTGATTTCCTCTATCTTTTTCATAATTTTTCTAGGCAAAATTCCAAGCTTCTTCGTCCCTTTAAATCCACCTTACCTCACGAATAATCCTCTTTGCGTGGTGTTGATTGGTAGGGGTGGTGGCCGGGGTGATAGATGGTGGTGGAAGGGTTTGTGGATGGGATGGTAGAGTGGCCGATGGAGGAGTAGAGGCCCCCGAATGGGTCCCGCCACGGGGAGGAGTCACCCTCACAGCCACTTCCTCCACAATCATACCCCCGTGAGCAGCTGCCGCGGCTCGGCGTTGATCAAGCGGGATCGGCAGGGCGTCTCGGTCTGGAAATTTGGGGGTGGGGGTGGTTGGTTTTATTTTTTAGGGGTTTTTAGCGAGCCATATCAGTATTGTCATTTTTTGACAAATTATACCCAGTTCTGGATTCAAATTCAATCAGATCTTACGTCTAAATATGGCTAGGAATTCCTCAAAAACCTCTGCTAGTTTGCCAGCCTCTGGATGAGTAAAATTCCGCAAGGAACACTGCTAGCTTGCCCTAAAGCTACGCAAGTTACTCTGAAAGCCGTGATCGTCCAGATTCGCGAAGAATCTTTGCTAGACTGCCTTTCGAGTCGTCATTTGTAATAACCAAATTCTCAAAAAAAACTCCGCTTGCTTGCTTTGGTTAAGGATCTAAAGTCCTCAAGAAATTTCTGCTAGCTTGCCCTAACTAGGCGAACGAGGTCACTGGATTCCCTAAGAACCTCAGCTGGCTTGCCCCCTTCACTATGAAACGGGTTCGATCCTTCCCTAAGAATCTCTGCTAGCACGCTGTTTCTGGTCCTTTTACTCAGGAACATTCTCAAGAATCTTGCTAGCTTGCCTTTGGGAAAAATTTGGACGCAAATTGGTTTTTAATACTCTTACATCTTTTTTTCCGCCGCCATATAAAATCGAGTCTAGCGCTATTTTTAAGTTCCAGCCTCCTAATTAAATAGTAAACCTTTGAAATCCCGCACTCCCATCCGGTCAGGATTATTTACATAGCCTTGATCTGGGGGTTTGCGATGTCTCGATGGTCAGACAGTTGACTGCCCAAATCGCATGACCCCCACATCATTGCACAGCGCTAATTTGCATGCATTAATGGGAGGAAGGACGCCGAGCCGGCACCACCTCTCTATTTACACAGCCCTGGCAAGGACCGTTGCACGCTGTGATTTACATTGGCCCCTCGGATGAATTCAATGGAGTTTTGGGATAGAGAGAGAGGGAGAGAGCGAGAGGGAGAGAGAGAGAGAGAGCGAGAGAGAGAGCGGAAGCGGGAGAGGTGCTAAGTTTGTCTCCTTGCAGCTTGCTTTCTTGGGCCCTTTTTGGCCCCAAGTGGCCCGGGTGGGCCCTGTTTTCCATTTGAGGTCAAATAGTAACGGGAAAAATTCGTCATAAGAGAGAGAGAGAGAGAGAGAGAGAGAAAGAAAGATAAAGAGTGAGAGAGAGTGAGAGAGGGAAAGAACGCTAGCTAATAAAGCTAACCTGGATTGAGGGCAACCTAGCAGAGATTCTTTGAAAAAAATGCAAAAAGTGAACTAAAACTCCATATTCCAAAAAAACCAGGGCAAGCTAGCAGAAATTCTTTGGAAAAACGCGTTTCTTTTGGATATGCACTTCTTCAACGGGCAAGCTAGCAAAGAAAGATTCTCTGAAATTTATCAGTAAAACGCAAAACATGTTCAAAACTGGGTAATCTAGCATTGATTGTTTGCAATTTTTGACGTCATAAACCTAAAAACCCACCATCAATGTACTTGGGAAAGACGCGGAGTCGAGTGTTTCCGTTCCGGAAGTGGACAGGCTTCAGCACCAAGCCGCACTCGTTGGTGCGTTGCCGATAGCGCCTAATGATCGCGTTCGCACGCATCGACATCACGTTGGCGCACTAAAGAGAGGGATAAACTGGTGGATTTTGGCTTCACGGTTCCTTTAAACCTTAAAAAAGTAAAACCTACCGTCTTACAATTACAATTGTTAAACGGGCACTTGGATGCGTGTCCCTTCAAGACGACCTGCATCCCGTGGCCCTCACATTTCCGGCAGAACAGCGTCCGATTCACTTTGCCGCCCGGAGCGCCGGCCGGCGTCAGCCCCGACGTCACCATCATCTGCAAGAAGGTCATGGTTAAAGTGAAACATTGGTTGACTGGAGCGGACTAACTAGCAGAATTCTTTGTAAATCAAGACCCAGGTAGGGCAAGCTTGCAAAGGTTCTTTGAGAAATCTGGACGAGAGCAGGTTTTGTGATTACGTTTTGACGGTCGGGCAAACTAGCTGAGATTCATTGGGGAATCTTGAAATCACTTTTTAATGGCTTACTACTACCGTGATATTAAAAAAATACCGTAGCAGTTCGGGCAAGCTAGCAGAGGTCTTTTACGAGGCTGCACCATTGCGGAAATCCAGCGGTTGCTGTATCTACCTCTATTTTACAGGTTTTTTATTTATTTACTAGTTTCCCAGCAACTTTCCTAATTTCCGTAAAGCTTCGGCCTTCCAGACCTCAGAAAAACACTAAAAATCGCAGGAGACGTGTTTTAGTATTTCCTAGCAACAGCGAAAATGCGAAAAATGGGCCCCGCCAAGCCAAATGTGTTTTCGGGGGGATCGTGACTTTTGCGGCTACGTGCCTAGACGTAAAAAGTGGAATAAAAAAAATCAGAATTTTCAGCGCAAGGAAATCAGGATTGCGGTAATACGGATTACGGTAGATAAATCACGCTAAACGTTTGTTTTTAATCTGATAAAACAACTCATGAAGTCGCTTATGTTAAAGGCGCCGCCAGGCCACAAATTTATGCAAATTTATGCGCAGAACATCCGCTACAGGACCATTTAAGTTACCGTAATAAAAAACCCAAAAAATTCAATGTTTTCGATCAAAATAACCGGAAATAACAAAAGCCAAAAAATTGGCTTAATTCCAAAATTGGAATTTGAGGTTCTAGCCTTCTAAGTTCCTTTAATGGCAATAACTTACAGTCATCATGTAAAACTCAGAGCTCTGAATTTTAGTTCCAAATAACTGATCCTAGCGAGCCAATATTGGGGGCTTATATACCAGTGACCTACGCATGAACTCCCACTGTTTCTCACTCTCACTCCCGCTCACTCTCTTCTCTCTCTATCTCGCTCTCTCTCTCTCATGCCTGCCTGCAGCTATATTTTCTATTGCCAAATGCGCGCAATTCGAACGGACCTGCGTGCGCTCCGCCCTAATATGACAATAGAAACATCCAGGATATAGAATAGCTCGGTTCAAAATGGAATTTCTGGGAACAGGAAGCTGCTGATATATATTTCCGGGCTTAGCCTCACCCGGTTGGACCTCTACGTGAGATTAAAAAACGAGAAATGAACCGGAATTTGGAGCCGAGTGGAGCGGACTGATCGGAATAGAATTGAAAAGAGAACGAAATGGATATCGGAAGTGGATCGAGGTAGCAGAACTATAGCATAGCTCCCGGGTTTTTGTGGTTTTAAAGGGGCTGCAAAGGGTACAGAAGGTCACAAAGAGTTAGGGAGGGAGAGAGAGAGAGAGAGAGAGAGAGAGAGAGAGAGAAAGCGAGAAAAAGAAAGATAGCGAAAGAGCTAGATAAATAGAGAGCGAGTTAGTGACAGAAAGAGAGAGAGAGAGCAAGAGAGAGATAAAGACAGAAAGAGAGACAGAGAGATCGGGCGAGATATAGGTAAAGCCTACGTCCAGCTAAAACATGCCAAATTCTACGGATACCTGCCTTTCCGGCTCCTTTAAAGGCCCATTGAAGGCTGAAAATAATGGAAAATCTATGGAAAACTGCGTTTTTGCGGAAAAACTTTAAATTAATCCAATCTCCGGAAAGCAGACAGGAATACTTGTTATTCCAATCGGTCGGGCGTACAAATTCCGGAACATTATTTTGAGCGAACCGGAAAATAATGGCTGAAAAATCACAAGCTGTGAAAATTGTGGGAAACTGGAGCATGGGCTGGAGAGCGAGAGAGACAGAGCGAGACAGAGAGAGAAAGAGAGATAGAGAGAAAGAACAAGAGTGGGAGAGAGATAAAGCTGAAAAGAGAAAGATTGCTCAAAAATGCAAATCAGAGACTGTTGAAAAACTGCTGTAAAATAAAGTAAGTCAAGCTTAAGCCAGAGCAAGATATTGAAGGAGAGAGACAGAGAAAAAAAAGAGAGAGTGAGAGATAGAGAGAGAGAGAGACGGACAGACATAGCCAGATGAAGCCCACGGAAAAAATAATACACCATTGAAACAAGAGCTTCCCCGTGTGGGACCAGCGGACCAACCTGACTGACTCCAGAATCCACAACGACAAGGGCCCAGCCACAACTAGGCCACGCCCCCCTTCAAGCGCGTGCCTTTCCGGCTCCTTTAAAGGTTGGCCGAAAATGGGGGAGAATGGGGCGCGCGACGACGGCAAATAATTGGGCCCCCCGAGAAGAGGTGTGGGCCACTGTTTCGATGCTCAGCGTGTGGATTGGACAGAATACGAACAAATAACGAGAGAGGGAGAGAGAGAGAGAGAGAGAGAGAGAGGGAGAGAACACGCTTCTTCGTCTTCGTAGGCTGGCTCACGAGGCCACGCCCAACTTGTTCGCCCCCCAGAGAAGTCGACTAATAAAGAGCAAAGGAGCGGCAAGCGGATTGTTTAAAGAGACTGGCAAGGCAGGCTAGCATAGAGGATTTAGGAAAGTGAAAAATCGGGCCTTAAACGGACTGGAAAGGCAGGCTAGCGAAGAGAATGTGGGTCATAAACCCCGCAAGCTAGCAGAAATGCTTTGGGAATTTTCGGAGGAGCTCTGGCAAAGGCTAGCTAGCAGAATTTCTTTGGGAATTACCTAAAGGGATGTCTAAGAGGTAGGTTAGCAAAGAACCTTAGAAATTTCTAAAATATCACAGTGTTGTAGGGAGGCAAACTCGCGGAGATTTTTTGCGGAAATCTCTTGAATTCTAAGTGCTGACTTTTGGTAACTTTACAGCAAGCTAGCACAGGTTATTTGTGAAGAAGAAGCAGGATAGCCAGCAGAGATGGAACAAGAGCGAGAGAGGGATAGCTTGAGCATGAGAGAGAGGGATGAGACAGAGAAAGAGGCAAGCTAGCAGAGATTCTTTAGCTATATCCACTTCAGATCAGATAACATTACGACCAGTTTTCGCTATTTTGTGCCATTTTATTGCTAAAAACCTCACTAACCCAATTAAGTCAGCTAGGCGCTAATTCTACCGTAGTCCAACCTAGCGCGTGAAAAAGGCAGGGTTCGCCAAAACAAGCAAATTTCCGGTCGCTGTGATTTCCCTGTGAGACCAAAGTAACAAGAAAGCTGCGGTGGCGAAGAAGTTCGGGCGTTATTTAGGAGACCACTCAAAAAGAGAGAGTGGGAGGGAAAAGCCGCCGGAAAGACCTACGAAAATTGGTGCCGATCTCGCCGTGGCGATTGTTTCTATGGCCCGGTGAGAGAGGGGAGAGAGAGTGAGAGAGAGAGAATTATGCCCTCGGGGGCACCAACGATACACACACCAGCCGACCGGCTCCAGCTCGCCCGCCTGGAGCCATAATTCGTTTCAGCGGCGCTTCGGCTAGGCCACCAGTTTTTTAATCATAGGGCACAAAGTTACGAACTTACCTGGTTTCTGGGAATTTATGGGATTAACGTGAAAGTGCAACTTTCTTAAAATCAAGTTGCAATTTTGGGGTATCAGAGAGAGAGAGAGAGAGAGAGAGAGAGAGAGATATGTCGTACACGATTAAAACTCCAACTACAAACCTGATGGTTGGCCTGTCGAACCTCCTCGATGGTGTGGTCGACATCGGAGGTGAGCAGCTCGGCCTCCACGACGACTTGCGTACCCGCCGGGATCTCGGTTGCGACGACTTCACTGAAAAAGAGGGATACGGTAAGAGGAGGAGTACGTGGTTTACGGCTTTCGTAAGTTTAAGTTACCTGCTTTTTTATGGAAATTTGCTGAAAAATGGAAAGAAATTCAGTGAGATACGGTGGGAAAGGCAACGTATAGCGGGGGCTTCTGGCTCCCTAGCATTGAATTTGAAACCGGCTCGACTAGCCCGATCAACGGCCCGAGCGCACTTTAGACTGTGATAATGGAAGATCGAGAGAGAGGGAAAGAGTGAGAGAGAGAGAGAGAGAGAGGCCAGAGATAGCTAGCGAGTCAAAGTGCACTATTCCCGCTACAAAAGGAGCGCGCGACCTTTAAAGAGCAAGAGCAGAAAAACAGACAAACAAATACGCGCGGCCCCCGGCGCGCGCGCGGGTGACGCGCTGTTTTCGATGGGATGCGCTTTTTAGGGGATACGGTAATCGAGAGAAAAGGAAAATTAGCTTTTTTAGCGTTTTTGGAGACGAAATTCTTGGCGAAAAACAGATTTTTTTTGCGAGCGGAAACATCATATTTTTAAATGGCCTGATTCTGAGCACTTTTGAGATTTTTACCGTAATGGCCGTCAAAAAGCTCGTATTTTGTGTCGCTAAGACTCAAAATTTCAAGCAAAATCTACGTTTTTGAGCGCGTTTTAGAATCGATACCGTGGCTCCCGAGCCGGGTAACTTTTTGGACCCTGTACCCTTCGGTGTCCGCAAACAAAACGTTCCGATTTTTCAGGAGCTTCTGATCACTCGAAATCGTTTCGAGACCGCTCGGGATCACAAACAGAATCTTGAGAAGTTGGAAAACAGCATGAGGAAAGGACGAGCGAGCAGAGATCGTTTGGGAAAATAGTTTGAAAGCTTGATTAAAGAATTAAAATATAGAAATTAAAAATAGCAAATATTTTCCTGAGTACGGTAGCCGCCAATTGCCGGCCTCACCTCATTGTCGGTGCTTCTCGATTGGCTGCTTGTCGAGAGAGATTGGAGGAGACGGCAGATCGAATAGCCGGATCACCAAGCACACAGCGGCAAATCACCTGGAAATGGAGAGAGTTTAGAGGGAGGGACAGCACGAGAGAGCGACAGAGAGAGAGCGAGAGAGTGAGCAAGACCAAATATGCATCAAATCAAGGTTGAAAACGGGCTTTTCCCAGAAATTCGGGGTGAAAATGGCACGTGGGGTGGATTGGGAAAACAATAGACCGGGTTTTGGGGTGGGGTTTCCCCTACCGTAGTCTGGAGAGAGAGAGAGAGAGAGAGAGAGAGAGAGTGAGAGCGAGAGAGAGAGAGAGAGAGAGAGAGAGAGAGAGAGAGTGGGTGGGTGAGTGAGTGAGTGAGAGAAAGAGAGCGAGAGAGGGAGCCAGGGAGGCAGAGAGAGCAATAGAGAGAGAGAGAGAGAGAGCGTGCGAGAGTGAGAGGAAGAATGAGAGCGATAGAGGGAGAGAGAGAGCAATAGTTAGCAATAAATTACTCAATTCCACGCCTAATTTCAAATCCAATCAATATTGATAAGATTTCGGGATTGGGCAGGATGAAAATCACCCCGCCCGCCCTCCGAAAAGTGTGAAAAGATGGGGGGCGGGCGGTGCGTTGGGTGCGTTTTTGTGACGTGTCTGGTTGTGTGTATCAGAGGGAGCAGCACGGCGAATACACAACCGCAAAAAAGAGCAAAAGGAGAGAAAGATTGTGAGCCGATCCGATCGGGTAGGTAATAATTTTTCGAACGCTTCCCAAGGACCGGGATGATAAAGGAGATAGGGTTTAGATATCCACGCCGCGCGGAAATAGGCGTGATAAGGATGAAAAAATGTCTTAAAGGGGCTCGGAAGTCTGGATTTTGGGCTTTTAAGGGGACTGGAAAGTCAGAAATCCATGCGTCTAACTCCTGCCTTGCAATTTCCTTTAAAAGTGTTGGAAGGCCTGATAAATCGACTTTTCGTTAACTAGCTGACGTTAATCGACAACTAGCTCCAAAACGAAAAATCTCATTTTAATAGAGCCTAAATAAATGCTTCTGCACGCGTTGCTTGGAGCTCCGCGTAGCTGTCGACATCCAGTAAATGACAAGGGCCGAACCAGCCCTTTTATAACCTCACAAAAACCCAAAAATTCTACCAAAAAATAGCCGATCGGCTGCGGATTATACTGACCGAGAATCAGAAATCCTAAGTTCGCAAAAACAGACCGGAAAACCCTAAAACTCGACGAATTTCAAAATGTCCTGAGGTCACGACTACGTAGCGCTCCGGGCCCGTTTTTTGCCCACGTAGTTTGGGTGCAAAATAGAAAAAGTGGCCCAGGGTGCGCGATTAGAAGCCCCTGGAAATTCGGTGGTCAGCGGAGGGGATTTTGGGCTTCTTCGGATCCGGTAGACCTGTTTATGCAAATCTGCATTTTTCGTATACTCAAAATAGAAAATTTCAGTTAGGATCAAGTTATATTATGTTACAGAAAGTACAGACTACGCCAGAAATTTTAAAATAAAAGAAGAAAAAGAGAAAATGCCGTCAAAAAATTTACGGATTTTCAAGGCTATTCCAACTTTTGAAAAGCGCTAGTATTTTAAAGCCGATATCGCGCCCTGGAACTGATTTTGTGATATGCCAATCTGTCTATTAATGCGTCAAAATGTCAATAAAAACGGCACGGAATCGGGCGCCCATCTGCCTATTCCTGACCCTAGAAATCGATCAGTCTCTTTGGCTAGACCAAATTCACAGAATTCACAGAATCCGGCCATTAAAGGTAAGCCCGAGAGAGAGAGATAGCGATAGAGAGAGAGAGCGAGAGAGAGCGAGAGAGAGAGAGAGAGAGATTGAGCCGTCAATCCGCCTGTCGACAGTTTTATTACGGCCATATAAAGTTCTGGGTGGACATCAAAGCTGGGGAAAGTTCGTTTTCAGTGAAGACTACATCGTACATTCGAAAGTACAGGGTATCAAAGGCGTTAAATATCATTTAAAATTTCGAATAGGCAGAAAGCTAAAAGTTGGTATTTCCAATAGAAAATTACACTAAAAAATACTAAAAGCAAATTTAAAAAGAAAAGCACTTATTGAAATCGAAAAAAAAATTGATTTTTCAAAAACTTAAGGAGCTAAATTGGTCTGATACGGTCCAGAAATGCAAATGACATTTATCCAAATAAAACCGGCTGAAATTTTGGATAATAAATAATTTTAAATAACCCTAACCCAAAAATTAACAGCTTAAAAATATCCTTGAAACTATAAAAATTTATTAAAGTTGCATCTAAGGTTTAAATACTACAAAGAAAACACAAAAAATATTTACATTCATCTTAAACATTACTAAAATAACAGGATCATGCAAAAACCAGCAATACACAAACCCCAGCGTCCATTAAAAAGTGCTCAACCCCAAAACCTGACCGTTTTTCGGCGAGTTCGACCTGTCGACGCGCTGAAAAAGTGCAAAAATCGGGGGGTACGCAGCAGAGGTTACAGGGTGAATGCAGTTCCGGGTCGAACGGATCGAATGGATGGATAAGAGAAGTGGTTGGGTTTGTGTGTGTGTGGGTGGGTGCATTGCGGGAACACATTTTTCGAAGCTACGCGCCCTTCCCCCCGAACAGACCGCCCCGGCGAGCGATAGAGATAGATAAGCGCACTCCTCGGGGCCAGCCGCCGACGCGAACCCCCACACGTGCTGCGGTTCGGCGATTTTAAAAAGTCATCACGGGTGGCTAATCAATTCCTGAAAAAATTGGCAATCAATCGGGGTCTTAAAGGGACAAAGAAGCGCCAGAATCGACCCTATTAGCGACTAGATCTAGACAGCCACTTGGCTTATCAGAAGACGCTTGTAAGCATAAAAAAACACTATCAATGCACACAATACAGTCTGCAAAAACATATCTGCGCGAAAATCCACCCGTAGAGTTTCTTAGGTCTAGACGGCTACGGGACGCGCCAAAATACGCATGCAAGCGGACGCCAACCGAATTTAAAAGATCATCATCCCCCCCCGGGGTGGCTGAGATAATCCTTGCTCAAAACAATCTTTGAAAATACTTATCTATGAAAAATAACCCTAGAAAGGGGCTAAGAAGCGCAAAAATCTACCCCTTCTGACGACTCGATCTCGACAATTTTATCACAGCGGAGCGCGAAAAACAAAGGCGCGATCAGTAGGCTTTTCACAAGGTAATCGATGCAAAATCTACACGATGAACTATCGGTTTAATTGTTTAAAGGGACTACAAGCATCAAAATCGACCCCTGTAAAGACCCGCATCTTTTCCCGGTCGCTAAAAATTCTCGGGGTGAACTTTGCTGGTCTCTCTCTCTCTGTCTCTCTTTCTCTCTCTCTCTTGCAGTACTCGCTAAGGTAAATAGCGCCGCTTTCCCAATTCTCACCCACCTAAAAAGCGCCCAAAAGCCGAGAGGGGCTACGGTAGCCGGAGCCGCGCGTAGTAGCAAATAGGAGGCGAGAGGTTGGGGAGAGACGAGAGAGCGCAGACCAAAAAAGCCGCACCACAGCCCATCAGAACAACCTTTAAAGAAGCGCGGAAAGAGGGGAATTTGGCCCCTTTCCTGGGCCCTTTCCTGGGACCCACGGCCGGCCAACGAAACACATCTCCGCACCACTCCTATACACACACGCATTCAGCGCATGCATCTACCACTCTCTCTCTCTCTCTCTCTCTCTCTCTCTCTTTCTCTCGCTCATTTCTTTTCTGGGCCCCATGCCAATGCAATGAATGGCGCGGCGGAAGGGAAAATTACGCGCTTGTTTTTTGAGGATTAAAGGGACCGGAGGTAAAAATAGGCAGGTGAACTTGCAGGGATCTTTTAGGAATTGAGCTTAGGGTAGCTAGCAACGTTCTTTGGGGGATTTCGCAAAAGCCAACTAACGGAACTTCTTTCGGATTCAAACTTCGGGAGAGGCAAGCTGGCAGTGATTTTTGAGAATTCAGGGTCTGAAGCGAAAAATGGGGAGGGCAGACTAGCAGCGATCTTTGTGGAATTGTGGGCTAAGGTAACTAGCAGGGATTCTTTGGGAATTCAGATAGCGTGGGTACGGGGTAAGCTAGCAGTGTTTTTTGAGGATTAAAAAACAAAAGTCAAGATTAAATAGGGCGATCTAGCAGAGATGCTTTGGCAATTGAAGACAAGGGTAACTGGCAGAGACGCTTTGGGAATTCGATTTAGGGAAGAGGCAAGCTAGCAGTGATCGCTTGGGAATTTTCTTGCTTTGCAATACGGGATCTTGGAAAACTAAGCGAACTGGTAAGCTAACAGTGTTTTTCGGGGATTAATGGGAACTGGAAGGAAACGGTTTTTTTTCGGGCAAACTAGCAGAGAAAATTTGGGAATTTCCAGGTCCTTATGGGTATTTTTAGTAAAGGCAGGCAAGCAAACGCCCCTTAGGAAATGCCCCAAAATTGGGGGCAGGCGAGCAGAGACTATTTGCTACACCTAGTCCTCACCAACGAACCACCAAACCACCTCCCGGATCACGGTACCTCCAAGTCGTTACGATAGTCGAGGGTCCTTCACCCTGTCATTTAGAGCTCCACCTTCCCCGGAAATTTACTCGATCGCTAAATTCCACCTAATTCATATTAACACCTCCTGGTGCCCTGAGCAATTTCCCTTCCGCCCCCACCTCCCCCAGCTAATAGAGTACAACGGACACCTCCTGACGGGAGCCGGGTTATGGTATTGCGCTACTTTCCGGGCTACGGGACCATCGAAACAAGTCGCGCGAGACTCGGAGCCTCGGCTGGGAGGCAAATGAACCAACCAAAAATTATTGTTGCTGAGAGAGAGAGAGAGAAGAGAGAAAGCTACGGAAATTGGAGTGCGATGCTTTTGTTTCGGTGCTACGATGATTTCCCTCGCGCGGTCTCGGACCGGACCGCCCGGAGCACAGTGGAATTTGGCCAGCCGTCGCTCCGAATTTCCGAATAAATATTGTA